GTTTCCGTCAAGCACACGCGTCGACTCCTACCCCGCAGCTCGTCTTCCTCGTTTGTTTTCATTCTGACATGTTCAGCAGAAAGGGAGAGAGATGGCCACTGCTACGTGTCCCAACCAAGAGGCTGTATCCGAGATTCCTCAAGCTCGCAGACACACGCCGCTCCCGGGTAGGCCAACCTCCAGAAACGACCGACGATATATACCGACCGGAACTTAGCACCTGCACCCCTCAGGCTTCGGAAAACACGCTGTGCTGATGTACTTTTGAGGTGCGAGAGACGAGGGGCTGCATTGTGACTGATAGGTGGTGTGTTGGAAGTGGTTGCGCTCGATGTCTGGATGTGGCGGCCGCTCGCTCCACACTGAGCGAGTGCACTCCCTCCCGGCCCTCCTACAGCTATGAATCAACGCAAAGCACAATGCCCAATACGCTACCTTATTTGCATATGTATTAAATCAAGGTGTTCTGATGTGTTTCTTATGCAGCTGCAAACCCAGGCTGGAACGCATCAGGCTTGCTGCTGGGACCATGCGTATTTGCGCGACACTTGTGGCAGCCGAGTCGTTAAAAATATGATTGATTTTTGCGCTGCAGTTTAACATGTGGACATATGGTGGCTATGTTCAGCATTTTCTTTCATACAGGTTGGGATGGTAGTGTTGCGTCATGGGTCAAGTGAACCTACAATGTGCATGATTATCAGTTTTTTGCATGAGACCCGGTTGTTTTTCTGCGGCATGATCGTTCATCAAAAACTGCAAATTAGGAAGAAGTCCAATGAGATTACGAAATCCGCAAAATGGACTCGCTTTTGAGATTGCAATAAAATCAGGTGTTTGTCAATTCTGCGTGCAGCGAATTTCACTTCCAAGCCGGATTAAGACCACACGTGAATATAGAATATCCATGCAGAGTTTCACCTTCGCATATCCGACAACCGAAATAACCACTTCACTACAAACATCTCTAAAGTGCCTTAAGTCATGGGGGAAGTGCAAGTCGGAATTCAGTTTATGTATACGATTTTCCATATCATCGATAAATATTCTGAAAGAATCCCAGCTACTGCTTTCAGGCTAGTTTTCAAGTCAGTACAGTGCAAAGTGCGAACTTTGATGTGATTGTACAAGCGATAAAGGCGTGCGCAACGGCTGAGTTTGAAATCTTTGGCTCATAAATGCACAGAGGATATCCCTGCAATTTTCAGCTTTCCCTCGTCTGATTCACGAAATTGTTTTCCGCCAAACAGTTTCATGAACCAGACAAGACAGAAAGCTGGAACTTGTTACGCGAGATCTACGCGCAGGAGGGTGGCACATGGAGTGGGAATTTGCCCG